AAAATTTATAATTTTTTTGGTTTTTCTGATTTTTCTAATAGTTCTTTCTAATTCGGAATCGTAGGGCACTAGTCCTTCAGAACCTGAACTACACATACACTAACACATAATAAAATAAACAAAAAAAATAAAATAAGATAAGATAACTTAAAGTTTAAATATGACTTTCTAAAAATAAAAATTTTGCTTTCGATTCCCCCGTAATGGCGTCAAAAACTTGATCCCTTGATACTAATAATATGCAAAGTACAACAATAATTCAGATTATATTTCACTTATATTTTCTTACTTTACAACAAAACCAAAAACATGATCTTCAGGAAAAATAAGAATTTAACTTTTAATTTATATATATTGGGATACTACGCAAGTATACATATCGTTATCAAGTAATATAGGACTTTATGATTAAGACCTGAATATCGAACCCACAGGTAATTTATACAATATGCACTTTTAGAAAACTTTCTATTTTAAAAAGATAATTACTTAAACTGAATATATTTTACAGTAATAAAAATTCAAATATTTTTTGTATTTTTGATATTTTGACAAAACAACAACAACTTAAATAGATAACTAGAGTTTTGTAGATGAAAAACACTTAATAAGAAAAATATCTTTCTTCCGATAATGAATCAGTAATAAGTATAGGAATTCTGTTGTGGCAGTATGCAAATTATGTTGTGCCAAATAGGACCAATAATATTCTTTACTTTTACTAGAGTTGCTATAAAGAACATTGGATAATTTAAAGTTTGAATAGTTCTGAAGACCGGCTAGGTAGGGAAGCTAGGTAGGGAAGATACTAGCTCTCACTCTAGAGTTCCCTCGATTCCATCCACTAGGGGACTAACATCTCGTATCAGAACCTAAGACAATAAACCAAGTTGGGGGTTTTAACCTGTCACTTTCAAGTCCTCTAACTCTACACCCTTCAATGAATATTTCCCTATTTATTTGCACTCAATCATATGAACTACATTCTCATTCATACAACCTCATGTGATTCTTTCCAATTGTTGACTGAGACAATACCAGCCCAGTTCTTACATGTTCTCACAATAAATTTTAACATCTGGATTGGCCAAATCAATAAGTAAATGAAGTGCATGAATTTAAATCATCGCAACTCCTTCCAACATTAAAGATCAATACTCTCCACAATTTCCATCCAAAGCTTAATTACTTATCATTTTAAGAAGAAAGATAAAGAAAACTACTCAGAATCCATGAAGAAAATAAAAACACACTTTAGTTTAAAAGTAGAAATCATTGTCAAACAAACAACAAGTCTGAATTAAAACCAAAAGTAGTCTCAAAGCAAAAAGATAAAAACTTATTTCAAGTTCTCCACCAAACTCTTGAAGTTCCTTTGAATCTCTTCTCTTTACAATCATTCAAAATAAACTAACAAAAAGGATAAAATAAAAGTAAAAGTGGTGCCTGAAAATCTCTCCGAACTAACACCCCAAATTGATGAACTTTCAAAACTTTCTAAGTATTTTTAGGACTCTTTTCGAAGTCTTCTCTTCTTTCTTTTATAGTTTTCCAAGAGCTGCCTTTGAAACTCTTCAAAATGTGTCCCAATTCGATGTATTTCCCAAAGGGATGCATCCTTTCGTGATAATTTTTGTCCATGGTGGTTATAACCACCTATTAAGCCAATGGGAGCCTCAAAAACCTCTTCAAAATTCGCAAAGACCGACTTTAATTGTCTAGTAACTGCCACTAACGCGTAAGCGTGGGACCTGTAGCGCTTAGGCACGGCCTTCTCTGTTTAACCGGTGCATAAGCGTCGGTTTTGGTGCTTAGGCGCCAAAACTCATTTGCACATTTTTCACTTTTTTGCTCCAAATTTGATTATTTTCCACTCATTTAAGCATTTTTCACCTTTTTATTTGTATCTGCAAGAAAACACACAAAAATATTTTCAATTAAAGCTTAATATCTCAAAAATAGGTATACAAATGTATCTAAAAACACTATATATTTTTTAGGTGTATCAGACATCTCTTCAAAATTCAACCTCATTCAATGGATCTTCTAAAAACTGATTCTGGCGCCTAGGCGCCAAGACTGTCGAGCCTAGGCGCTCGGCGCAATCTTCATTTGGCACCTAGACACCAGTTCGGTTGATTTTGACATTTTTTCTTGGTTTGGTCCATTTTGCTCCTTTTTGAAGTATTTTTGCTACTTTTTGCTCTTAAACTCTTTTTGTTGCACATGTAACCAAAAACACACAAAATATCTTTCATTAAAGCCTAAAAAATGGGCATAAAATGTGCATATAAAATAGGTAATTTTAGAATGGATCACACACGAAGCCCTCTGGTCACCTCCTCCTACCTCGAGGCACCAGAGAAAACTTGATGACCAGCGCCCTGGCCTCCAGTGCGTGGATGCTCGACATCACGCTCAGCACTTTGTTCCGGTGCCCTCAGCTCCACCATATTTGCTCCTCCTACATCAACCTGTCCCATACACGTCCCCTCGATCACAACCTGGTCCATCGCAGCCGCATCATCTTCAAAACCAACGTCGGTATCTACTGATATAAAATCAACAATCAAGACCTTAGTTTCTCAAAAGAGAGATGCAAAAAGTTATTTAAACTACATACCAATAATCCGCCCCCATCAGATGTGGTATAAAAGAAAATGTCTTCACCAACTTTTTCTGGTCCTCCACCTGAAGAAGAGAAACCGCTCCTAGTCGATCAAAGCCATGTCTCAGACTCAGTCGCCGCCTCCTTAGAACTGCCGCAACCCCCGCAGCCACCTGAAAAGGCAATCTTTCTCTCGCAGCAAGAACACTCACCCCATGACGAGTGTCCCGTAAGATGGTCATTAAGACAACCTCTTACCTCTCCTACAACCCTCTCCTGACCGCAAGAAGACCAGAAGAACTAGGCAGGTTGTCGCGATCGCTAGCACCGGGCTTGAACATAGCTCTCTTCTCGTTCACCCCTTCTGCGGATACCTCACCCTTCGGTTTGTGCTTCATGTCTAACTTGCAAGCCTACGTCTGCATATCGCTCATAGCCTTGAGAAGGACACTCTTATCAGAAGGCAAAGCTCCTTCGCCAAACAACACAAAAGCACGTAAAAAGAAGGACACGAGACAAAGGAGCCAGAAGAGACGAAGATGGTGCAGAGCTCCCTTGCCCCAAAGCATATTTATAATGGTTCAGGCACAAAAATCCAGGGAAGTCTATTATTGTGCAATAATATCATTTAATTATTTCAAATATGTTAAAAAAATTCTCATATCCTCGTGTACTAAATTGTTTCCGAGGAAAAAGAGAATTGAGAAACTAAATATGTACACATAAAAATGATTCAATATAAATCTCAAAGCAGATGGATAGCTCTGGAAGATGTGGACGATCAAGCGTAGACGCGAAAGACGATTGTTTTCAGGTGAGAGGTAATCATCCTTTATGAAGATCGATGGGGAGTACTCAATCAAACTATATATAGACCGAGCCAAGATTTGTTAGGTGATCGACAACCTTCATCGATCAAATCGATTAACAGTTTTATTAAATGCAGATAACTGTAATTACCAACTCCCCTATGTAGACTGAGCCAAGGCTTGCTAAGCGATCGACAACCCTCTCGATCAATGATTTTATTAAATGCAAATAACTAATTAATAACCCCCACCAAAAAAAAATAATAATAACGAGAGGGCTGATATATACTTTTATAGTGTTGAGACTTAGACCTATAAATAGGAGTCCATGTTATGAATAAAAGACACATCTTTACCTGTCTATTAATGCTCTCGCTCTCTCTCTCTCTCACACACACACAAACACTTCCTAATAGCATGGGTGTTTCTCGAACAATTTTGGATCCAAACACTATTTTTTGTTATCATGCTTTCTTGGAAATCATTACAATGCACGTTAACAAAACCTTGTGAGGAAAACGCAAATCGTGTGGATGGTTGAATAAAAGAGCCGGGCAAATGTCACCTCAACAGAAACGTGAATAAGGAGAGCGCAAAGCAGTCAAGAAACTGAAAGATTAATGCTTTGACAAAGCAAGCAAACATAAGATATCGTAAGCTGAGTGGAGAATGCTGCAAATGTATTACAAATATACATTGTAACTAAGGATTTGTTTAGGATAATTCTTATTTTCTATTATTTTAAGAAAAAAGCATTCAAAACTTCAAAATATTATTTTAGATGTTTTTAAAAAGAACTAAATATGTTATAGCACATCAAATATATATTATTTCAAGTAAAAATATAAATAAAATAAATTAAACTTAAAATTAAGAAGAAAAGAATAAAAATAATTACAAAGAGCCCCTATGAGATTGGGAAGCAAAAAATCGTCAAGGATAACAAATAATATGCATATATTAATAGAAAATGATATTTAAATGTTTGGCATAAATTAAAGTGGTAAAATTGCAAGAAAAAAAAGAGCTTTGATTTGTATACCTCCTATTACACATAACTGACCATATATTCCTATGTTTACTTTCTTGAAAAAATATGAAAATTCATTTTGAACCAAACTTTTCCACTAAGCATGCTGAAATTACTAGAATGTTACCATACTCAGCAAAAGCTTAGGAATTGCTATCATAGGTTCATCTGGTAGCTTGCAAAAAAAACAATATATTTTGGCAAACATGACTTTACTTTGGAAAAAAGATATTAAAATCATACCAAAATTCTTCGAAATAAATTTGTTGCATTTGATCAGCATTTGTCTAACTACATCCAAATGCATGACAAATCTAACAACAACCAAAAAGCCTTAATCCCACTATGTGGGTCCGCTACATGAATCCTTTTATCCATTGCGTCCACAATAATAAAAAAAGATTCATGTCATGATTTATTCAACAAATTTTATGCTGGCTGTAGACCATCTAACGCAACCCTCCACTTTTCACATCCAGGCTTGGGGTCGACAATGACAGTGTTGCATGACAAAACCAACAAAATTTAAATAGCAACAAAATGACTTCAAAATTAACGAACCATTTGATTTGAGCCTTAAGTTGAGATCAATATATTTTATTTCATTCGGGCTTTATGCTGCAAGTGAGTCACTTTGCTCACAATCCTGATTGGTCGTTGCCATGTTCTTAACAAATACTTAATGAACCAACATATTCGATTACATGACAAATTATGACAGCAGTGAAATTCTTTGCAAAGTTTAATAATGAAAAATAATGCGACGAATTGACACGACAGTAATGTGCATCATAAGCAGCGTCTTTAATCCCTCCTGGAGCAGCATGATATAAGCTACAAATGTCTGTTTGTTTCAAACATCATATATGCTTTACATAGAGTACTCAGAACGAAGAGTGCATGTAATAGTCTGAAGGTGGAGAGCACTCAGCTTGGACTGCTAATGTCTTGACAGTGCCTCTGCATGGGTCAGGGCTGAAAGTTGTGATCGAAACAGCAATATAGCAACTGTTTCTTCCCAAACAAGCCTGAAAGGGAAACCAAATGCGTAAAAACAAAAGATTACATGATAAATAGACATTCCATAACATTCACTTGCTGCAATGCACCTACCTCAGATACGACAGATGATGAGCTTTGTGCATGGCATTTTCCCTCGGAGAAATTTTGGCAGCCGCCATTAGGGGTTCCGAAGCTCGCAAATGTTATGGAAGAGATTGTATATCCATCATCACAGTGCAAGTACATTTCCGGTGAGGTTTTATCAAGTGAGATATTTCCAGAATAAAGCTTTGGGTTGTGCCAGGAAGAAAGAGGTGGATAGTGAGTCTCTGAAACTTGTGCACAGATTGTTGAAGTCCAATGTTTCTTCAATTTTATATCTAATGGATTCCCGCCTATTTCCTCAAATATGACGAGCAAGTTGTTAGAAGCTTTAAGCCAATCTCTTGGAATGTGATACCTGGAGGAAAAAAAAAGGAAATTTACATTCGTAGCGTACAATTTTTATGTATTTATATATTTCACGCCTAAAATTTCACATTTACATACATAACACTTTGGTGCTTCAAATCTTTATATAAAAAGGTATAATTCACTTTTAAAAAATAATAATGGAGCTATTTTTTATGTGATATTAAGGATTTGAGTGTTATGTGTGTACATCTGAACGTTTAGGAGTGAGATATGTAAATAGAAAAAATTGTATTTACATATCTGCATAATATGGCACAGTAACCACATGGATAAAATAACTGAATTATGAAGATGGTAATAAGCACTGCACCTAAATGGTAGAAATTTTAATTCCAGAATGACATCATGCTTACAAAGTTTGGGTTGGTTTCCCACAGTTGGTCAAGCACTTCTTTTCATTGTAGGCACCACGATAGTTACAAGTTTGGGGGCATCCATGACTAGGCGCAACTAGGGACCAGAATCGTCCAAGTCCATGGCCATTTATCCAAGCTTGGCCCTTCCCCATGCTCCCAAGGTCAAGAGCAATTGTATATTTTCCTATAGGTATATCAAAGTAAGACTGCATGAAGGAGAAAGTATCAGTGGAATGCACAAGTCAACTAATTTTTTAATAGTGACGTCCAAGTAAAAGCAATAGTTGTATTAGTAAAATACAAGCAGAGATATCCTGCTAATGGTTGAACTGAATATTTGACGGTACTCTGTGGAAGTGGCATAACAAAAATAACTAGACACGTGTATAATATTTGTTTTCTTTACAACATTAAAAAGGCATGCGTATTAAGATATTGTATATTATTTCCTTTTCTACCTTATAAGTGTAATATCTATGAAATAGAAAGGTTTGGGGGGTGCTTCTAAAAAAAAAAAGGTACAACCGTCGAGTATAATTCAGAAGCTGAAGTGGGCAAAATTTTCTGTCCGGACTTCAGACGTAGCACTACGTATAGACTCCAGTAATATGCCTCAATGTGTGCTACATCGCGGATGTTATTGGATGATTATTGAAGTGAAACCGCAAATGTTATTAGATGGTTATTGCGGGGGTTAATGTTGGGGGTTATTGATGTGGGAAAAATTTTCTGTCCGAACTCCGAACGTAGCTCTACATACAAACTCCAGTAATATGCCTCCATGTGTGCTACATCGCGGAGGTTATTGGGAGGTTATTGAAGTGAAATCGCAGAGGTTGTTAGAGGATTATTGCGGGGGTTAATGCAAGAGTTATTGAAGTGGAACCACGGAGGTTACTGGATGGTTGGTTATTACGTGAGTTATTGCAGAGAGTTATTGAAGTGGAACTGCAAAAGTTATTTGAGGGTTATTGCAGGGAATATTGCAGAAGGTTAATGGAGTGGAACCGCAGGGGTTATTGCAACGTTATTGGAGTTAATACCCCAATAATCCCCCTATAACCTCCCAATAGCCCTCCAAATAACATCTGTAGTTTCACTTCAATAATCTCCTCGGTTCTACTCCAATAATCCCCGCGGTTCCACTTTAATATTTTTTAGGCGGACCAGATATAACACATGTGGCGGCATATTACTGGAAATCCACATGTCGAGCTACATTTAAGTGAGACCTCTTTCGTTCGTATTCAACGAGAATGAGAAACAAAGAAAAAGAGATAGAGAACGAGAGAAGAAGGACAAGGAAGAAGTTGTGTTTAACCCTTGCAGGAGAAGAGAAGAAACTGTATAGGAGAAGGAAGAAGGGGTCGTTTCGAGCCCTAGCATGCGGCTTCTGTATATGAAGGAGAAGAAGTCCCTATGGGATTCCTGTGCGAAGGAGAAGGAAGGAGGTGTTCTCGCATGCTTCTCTTACCAAGGATTCGACATCTTCCTAGAATAGACACCGAAGAAGACAAAAGAAGATGCCCGCACACGCACGCACGCACGCACGTGCAGACACAGACACAAACACATACATATAGGTACATATTAATTAAAGAAAAAGTTTGATTTATTAAGTTTATAATTAACATTTAATGAAATGTTAATTTCTAATAGCAATTAAGGTTGAAGAACATTTGAACCAATAAAATTTGGAGAAATTAAGTTAGGGAGACAAGAAAGTAAGATAAAGGTAAGTAATTACTTTTTTATATGTATTAATATGATATTTTATTAAATAAAGACTTGAATTATTACTTTGGATAGCTATTTTTATAATTATGCATATTGCAAGTTAATAAGAATCATTGAAATGAATGAAACGATAAAAAAGAAAAATGATTGTTCAAGGACTTCAAAAACGAGATATGTAATGGAAATTAAATGTAAAGTTTAAGCCATACAAAATTGCTCCCAGATGATACTGATAGAGGAGGTGATATACCCGTGCATGTAAGAGGAAATGAAAATGGTAAAGGTGTACCTTATGGTGCAAAATTTTGAGGATATCTATATGTACAATTTTGAAGATACTTTGGGGTATGATGTTAATCCTAAAATGACTTTTAAAAAGGGGTTAAAAGTGATAAATACTTACATTTTATTGTTTAATTAAGTAATGAACAACATTTTTTTGCCAGTTCACACATAACATTTGCATATTAGTTTAATACATAATAAGATTGAAACTGCTCACACAATTATGCAAACTTAATATTGAATTTAATTGTTTCTTTCAAAAAAACTTGTAGATTGATATGTCTAACATGAGATATTTAGTTTACAAGAAAGATGACTATTGCTGATGGGTATTATATTTTGGTTGTAATCATTATACTGTTTATTTCTGAGTAGTGATATATTGTTGTGTGTTGCTTTAGGAAGCTATTTTGCTTGCAATAATGTTGTTGTTTCTGGATGATTTAAATTTCCATTTAGTATATTCTGTAAATTTTTGTAGTTTTTTTTATCATTGGAAGTTATGATGGATTATTGAATGACTTAAGAAAATTTTATACTGTTCGATCGTTGTTTTTGACTCGGTTATTTCTAAGTTATCAGACTGAGACGTGACAATAGCATACATAATTGCAGTTGAATGCGATGACAACTGTAACTTAAATTAGTTAATTCTAATTAACATTTTCCAATTAGAGGCATCCAAACAGTAGCCAAAAAACATCCAGCATTCATTTGGAATAGCATTTGCTCAGAGGCGTTCTCTTACAAAACCAACTTTACCTTGTACCATGTAAAAGACGTTTTCATCTTATCAGGCTGCAACATAGTCCAGTCAACCTTTTCTTGTCCTACTTGAGCAAATACCTTCTTGAACTCTCCCTTTAACCCTACCTGCCACATTAAAATTTCAGTAACCAAATTAGTGAATTTTCAAGAACAATGATTCCCTAGCAAACTCAAATAAATCAACTACTATAACAAAAAGAAGGCATAAACTAAAAAAAAACAATAAAAAGAAAAGAGAAAAAAAAGTTATACATGAAAGGTTTGATAACTTGAAGGTTTAAAAAGGAAATAATATGCATGCACTCATCACTAAATCAAGTCTCATAGTTCAAATTCCGTGGTGAAACCCTCAGGGAAAACCTATCAGGAATTCCTGACGCTAAACAGTGGTAAATATCTAGCTACTAAATGTCAATGATCTAATTTGATACCAAACCAGATAAAAACCGAACATACAATATGCAATTACAACAGCATGATACTAATTGCAGGTAGAAAAAAAAAAGGCAGATCACTTGTGTTAAGGAGCAGTTGAAGTTTTATTCTGTTTTGAGATCATCCAATTGAGTTGAGAATAAAACTAGCTAATGACTATATAGAATTAGTCTAGAGTTTGACGTAGTTTTAAGGGCTGAAATGGTGGATGGCTGGTCTTAGGACATAGATTGTGGAGGAAGAGATGAGAGAGGCTAAAAAAGGATATTAAAAGATTAGCAAGAACTTATAACATAAATAACCAGGTACGCTGAAGAAAGGTCAAGCTAAACCGCCAAGCACAAAGTATTTCTCTACAATCATTACATTCAAACATTTCATCACGTGATAGCCCTATTTGAGGATATTATAATGACAATTAGACGATGCTCATTCCAAACAAAAGAACGGAGAAAAAGCTGATGGGAATGGTAGGCTAACCGCTTATTTCGGGTTAAGTTTTTTGTTTCACCGTAATGCCCCAAGTGGTCTAGCTACTATTTATTGTGATAGGCATCCTATTTGTTCTTCAATGTTCGTGATAACAGTTACCAACAGTTGAATGGAGGTTTCCTACCTCTGCAAAGTTACAACACGCATAACAAGAACTGTGTAGGGATTAGATTCTTGTTCAAGCCAAGCCAGAAATTAAAACACGATCCTTTTCCAAAATCTTATGGAAGAGGGAATGGTCCGTGTGAGAGTACTAAGTGCAGTCATAGTAGAGGTCACATTCTATCCATAAAGCAACCAAGTCGTTGTCGTATTGGGTCACCTTCTTCAACCTCAGTTTAGCCTCGCAGACCTTATGAGAAACTTCATATAGTTGTGCAGAATTACCTAAGTCTAAGTAGATATCGCGAACAACAGTCCAGAGGGCACTTGTAGATTGAAGAAACAGATCAGAACGACCAATACATGTCTCTATAGAATTAAGTAACATTGGCATAACCATGGAGTTCTCCACTTCCCAGACAACAAATGTCGGGTCAGTTTTCAGAGGTTCTCGAATCGTGTCGAATTTACCCCGACCTTTGACAAACAACAAACAACTTGAGAACACTAGATAAATTAGAACTGTTGAGTTTATGAGTGATAATTAGGAAATTTGTGTGTTACGCAGGTCCTCCGGTCTGCGGAGGGATTGAGGTAGGTGTCAAACCTCTGGTGGAATCAAGAACAACGTCGAATGAAAGATCAGAGGTACAGAAATTAGCCATGGCTCCAATGAAGCTAAAGGAAAGGAATGGCAGTTGAGGCACGAACGAAGTCAATCCTTGCATATGGCAACCTATAGGGAAGTTTTTCTGATTTTAGGAACGAGTTTTGGATGGAGGAGAGACTGAATCATGGAATTTCGGCTGTAGGTAGAAGGCGAAAGGGTGCCTGCAGAGACAAAAAAAGCCAGCAAGGAAGAGTTTCGGAGGCTAGAGGCATGCATGGAGGAGTTCCAGCGGCTATGGTAAGATGGCTAGGAGTTATGACGGCTAGGATAAAATTCCTCGCTATGAAACCATGTAGGTTTGGAGAACTGAGCATAATACTTTTATTGAAATGAAATGTTGGCTTAAATACAACTTACTAGAATCTTAACATAGGAAATAAATAACAATTATATCTCCAAGATTACAGTAAAAAAATAAAATAAAATAAAATAAAATAAAATAAAATTATAAACTCCTATAATTAGTTGGAAATAAAAGGAAACACACAAAAAGCAAAATAAAATTCTAATCTAACTTCTAAGATATTGTTGTGCAAGCAATTTTCCGCTTGCGAATCACTGTTCTAATGCAAGCTTCAACATAAATCACAACAAACAATATGTGCATGAATGCCAATTACAGTAAAACTGATGAGTTGGTTCATCATCAAAGCAACTTAGGCAAAGAGTGTATAATACCTAAAAATTGACAAAAATGCAAGTTAAAAATTTGTTTTAAATTATAACTCATTTTTCGTATATCTCAAAGATAATTAAATTTATTTTAATAAAATTTTAAACTTCACTTTGATCATTCTGATACGCATCAATATTTTAATTTGAAATTATATAAAAATGATTTAATTAATTTGTATTTAAGAAAATTAAAGTTATAATTAAAATTACTGTTATATATGCATTGATGGAAGTATACCCTCATCAATTACTATTTCTAGCATAGAAACAGAAAGCAACTGCTAAGAGAAGAAAAGAAAGAAGAGGAGGAAAAAAAGAAAGAGTATTGGGAAGAAAAGCTGTAATCTAAAGTAAGGCAATTAAGATGTATATATAAATATGAATAATTTTTTATTTTGAATAACATTTAACTAAGACATCCTTTTTATTGCTCAGGAACAGCGAAGAATAAACGAACATAAATGGAATAAAATAATTATGAATCGAGAAAGGGAGAGGAAACAAACAAACGAAGAAGAGGAAATGAGAGGTCGGTTAGGATGTGATTTCAACTATATAAATTGACTTAACTGTGAGAAGAGGAAGAGGAAGAGGAAGAGGGAAGGAAGGAGTATTACAGAGGACGATTCTTGCAGGAAGGAGTATTATAGAGGACGGTTCTTGAGGGAAGGAGTCGAAGCTGCGTGCGATTATGAAACTTCTTAAGCATTTTGATATAATGGATTTAGAGAAAATTTTAAATTTATTTATAATAGTAGGTTAATGTCTAAAAATGTATTTCATAATAATAATAATAATAATAATAATAATAATAATAATAATAATAATAACAATAATAATAACAATAATAATAATAATAATAATAATAATAATAATATCAAGTTGAGTTAGAAGTAATCAATATTGGTTAGGTTTGTCTAATGACTTTTGAATCCTATTTAAGGCTTAAGATATTTAATTTTTCATAAGGATAGATCTTTTATGTGGGCTTATGTTTATTGTAGTTTTCAATAACATTTTAGAGATTCCTTTCAATTAGGGCATTTTAATCCATATTCACCTATTGATTTTTTGTTGGATGCATGATTCAAGCATTGTCAAATTAGAAGTAAATTTATTTATTGGAATATAATGCACCACTCTTTCTTCAGGTCCCTACCGGGGTTCTATCAAGGCGCATTGATGATAGGTTTCTTAAACAATTTAAGGGTTGCACATAATGCTCCATTATTGCCATACGAGTGACGCGGGGCTCGAGAGAGGACCTAACCCCTCTTTCCTTTTTGTTCTCCTTCTCTTTTCTTACAATTCCTTCCCCCCCCCCCCCTCCTATTTCTTTCCTCACTCCTAAGCACTTTCTAAATTTATATCCTTTCCTAAAATATGAGATCTGATTTTATTATTCCTTCTTATTTTAAAACAAAGCCCTTTCCTAAAATATGAAATCTGACTTATATTCAGCTTTCCAATTTTAAAAGACTTTTCCAAAATCTAAAATATGATTTTTATTCTCCTTTTTATTATAAATGTTTCCTAAGATAGGTTATGAATCTTTATAAATAAGAGAGGTTGTGCTTTAAGTTAGGTGCTTGTTTTATGAAATATGAATTCAGTTTTGCCTGAATGTTTTCCCACTTGAGAGTTGTATCTGACGCCAAAGTAGTGCTCAGGCTATCACTTGTCTGAGGTGGTGATCGTTTCCACGACTCTGGGTGGTGCTCCGACTGTAGCTCGAACCCGCCAAGATATTTATCTCTCCGCCCATCCTCCTGACTGCTGTCAGCCGCTTCTCAGCACTACAGCCAACCCCATAGAACTCTTTGCACGCCTACATGTTGCCCAGCCTTCCTCCCTGCAGCTTCCCTTCAAACCGTAAACAGCTCTCCTCCCTCCTACTCCCTCGATAACCCCCGCTTCTCCCTTTCCTGCAGTCTACCAGCCGTCCCACAGCTCCCAGTCGGTCTTCTAGCCAACAGCCTTGCCTCCTACAGTGAGTCGTCCACTTCCTGTAACTGTCATCCCTCTCCAGCAATCCTCCAGCCTTGCAGTAGGCTACCCCACTTCCTGCACCCACCATCCCTCTCCAACAGTCTTCCAGCCTTCGACGGCATTTCCTTTTCCTTCCCAATGTAGTGGGACACCACTCTCATTTTGCTAATTTGTTGTTCTACTTCTTCCACGGCAGCCCGACACCTCTCCGGCCTTCACCACAACCACTGAACTAGCAACACATCTCCATACTCCCTCTTTGTCATGCTTGTTTTGCCTTTTTGTTGAATCATTATTTGTAACCCATTGCTTCTGCATTCTTTGCTTTGTGTGACGTCCTTTATTTTGAGCTTTTGTTGTAACCTCGTGGCTTGGGTAAACTCCGGTATCATTTGATATCACAGTTAGCCCAACCCTTGTCCTATCGTAGGGTTCCTAGCATCTGACCATACCCAATCCACCACACCAATTTTTCTTGAACTTTTTTTTTCTTTTTTTTTTCTTTTCTTCCACAGCTCCCAAACAGTCAAACATGCCGCCAAAGAGACATGCCTGAGCCTGCTTGGGAGGAGATATGGAAAGAACTTTGTTGCTTCCAACAATGAATTGCGGAGATTGAATAGATGACACATGAAGAAGTTACTGTCCATCGTGATCTGGAGAGTCAAAGAGGAGAAAGAGAAGAGGATCTGAATCCCTTCAATAGGGATAATTTAAGTGATGAATAAGAAAGACCACGACG